GAAACATTCTCAGCTTCCCGGGAAGCATACAGTGCAAGCAGCCGATTAAGCGCTCAAACACTAACAAACTGACAAGATCTTTCGCTGTCTATAGCTGGGTACCCATTCCCACCTGGTTGAAGTGAGGAAAATTCGTGTCAAGTGCCTTTCCCAAGGACACAACGTCGGGCCCTTGACGGGATTCGAACCCACGACCTTACGGTTGCGAGTCCGAGAGCCTAACCACTAGGCCACCGACGCCACAAGATTATAATATATAATAATATATGAATAATATATAACAGCTTGCACTTAAAAAATTAGTTCCAACATTTCAGACAACAAACATCCTTTGTTCCCTCAAATAAAAACATCAGTCAGAAGTAAAAGGTTTAGGCTTCTGATCTGTAACAAAGAAAGATACAGAAGGTCATTTCTACTATCACCCATCAAAATTCTTCCATCTAAACCATATTGTCTAAGTATTCAAATAACCTTGGAGATGAAGGACTCTAACCATGCATCAGAAAAACATTGAGTCATAAGATTGTTACTACTACTTTGAGTCTTAAGATTATTACTATTTATATTGCTGCTCACTTATATTATGCATGTGAGTGTAAGCCTGCGTGTGTGTTCATGTGTGTGTGTGTGTGTGTGTGTGTGTGTGTGTGTGAGTGTGTGAGTGTGTGTGTGTGTGTGTGTGTGTGTGTGTGTGTGTGTGTGTGTGTGTGAGTGAGTGTCCGTGTGTACACGTGGTGAAACACCAGACCACTGCTGTACCAGGATCTGGACAATAAAGATGTATCTTATCTTATCTTTTTGTCTATCATCCTTCCTTTCGTTCTTTCCTTGATTTTATCATTTATCTTTCTATTGTTTCTCTCTTTCTTTCTTTCATGTATTGATTGATTGATTCATTCATTTATACTTTCTTTCTTTCTTTTTTCCATATTCCCCAAGCAAAACAAAATGAAACAAACACAAGCCAGAAGTAAATTTACTTCCGTGGGTGATTGGCGGGTGTTCTGGCGTGGTTTGCCCCTTCCTTCCTATCATACATTTATCGTACTTTTCTCCCCGTCTTCTTTTTCGTGTTTGTTACCCTTTTGTAACACCTCTAATTTTCGGCATTCATATGACTTTATTGTGTTGCCAGTGCCGCAAAGCTCTTACTAAAACAAGAAAGTTGATAAACGAAACTACAACATACACACATACAATGAATTATTCAAGTTCTTGTGTCTAACCTCTTTATCTCTGAGACTTACTTTTCCATAAACATTTGTAATACAAAACGACCCCTCCCCCCCCCCCCCCCCCCAAAAAAAAAAGAAACACAAACCCTTTCCCTTGTCCTCGGCCCCGGGAGAGAGGAGAAGGACGAAGAAGAGAATTCTGACATCACCGCTGATGTCTCTTTTGTGACGTCACCGCGAGACGTGGCCGGCCTTGAGCCGCTGAACATTCGCTGCGAAGCTACAACGGTGAGTCGTACCGGCCACTGTCGACTAAGATTGAGTATATTATATATTTTGTTTTACGGCACTATTGAAACTGTTGGTCATGGGAGTCACATTAGCGTGTGTTTTAGTTTAATTAAGTAAGGGTTTTAAAGCACTTGCTACCCAAATAGGTCATCATGGTATAAGTGGTTACTAGAGATGTGGTATTAAACAGCAGCATACACAGAAACGAAGGTTTAGGGGCCTGGGTTTACTTTAGGTAGGAGTTTCACGATTTGCTACTTCTTTCTTATAAAAAATCTATCTTCCTCATTTCTCCTTCTTCTTTTCTTTGTATGTTACTCTTTACTAACAATTTCAATTTTCAGGATACTATAGCCAATAGCATGCGTTGTAAGTGCCGTAAAATAACCCCCCCCCCCCCCCCCAATTTAAAAAAAATATTAATAAATAAATAAAAATAAAAATAAAAATAAAAATCAACCCAGTGGAGAACAGCAATTCCATGTTTGTGAACTTGTTCTCCGTTGATGCGATATTGTGTACCAAAATTTTGTTTTCTTTGAATGTATATATTTGTGTATACTTATGAACGTTTGTTTGCCATTGAAATTGAAACTCATATTTTATACGGGGATCGATAAAAAGTTGATTTGTTACCTTAGAATTACAAAGTTCTATTTGACATTTTCGGTTGTTTCGAGTTACTAAGACCATGAGGTCTGAAGATAAATGTCCTATCAGCTCTAACAAAATCATTAGAATATTCAGAGTCGTTATCTAGAGATTCAATGAACTGCATTCGAAAAAGCTTAATCATGTTGTGAAATTTATTTTTACGTCAAATTTGTCAAAACTAGGTACTGAGTAGATAGAGCCTTGTAATTCCAGAGTAGCAATCTATTATTCATTTTATTTAGCATCCCTCTTTACAACACTTACTTGTGACGTCTGTTGCCTAGCGGTTAGGACTCGTAATCGTGAGAATATGGGACCGGGGATTCGAGCCTGAGCTCAGTCGACGTTGTGTCCGTGGAAAAGGCATTTTATACAAATTTGCCAATTGCCTTGGTCCTTTCGGAGATGGACGTTAAACAAAGAGGTCCCACCTCTTAAATAACCTAACAATGTTGGTAAGGGGTGCTAAACATATACAAATTTACCACTTTTTCAACACCTTTCAACGCCCATGTCAACGAGCAGGAGACAGAGCCATCCGAAGCTTGACCCTATACCAGATGACTTCAAGACGACGTCGACTAGCCTCTGTCACAAGCGAGGGAACAGACGAGGAAAACATTCCCGGAATGTCTGCTACAGGCTCTGTGTCCAATGAAAATGAACAGGATCCATTCCTACAAGTGACCTTTGACATACCAGGTGAGGATTTTTAGGGTTTTTTTTTAGTATAGGGGCTTTTACGCCCCCATCAACAGGAATTACATGTTTATGGGGGCGAGATTTAGACACTGCCTCGAAGGGCCAACAAAGGCTGAGAGGCAGAAGAAAGACCGAGATACTTATTTAAGAAAAAACAATCAAACTATCGCCACTCGGGAATCAAACTCAGGTCTCCTGTATGCAGCAGTGAAGCGTCTAACCACAACGCCTAACCACAACACCTAGCCAAATGGGTCGAGAGCCTCGAAAACTCCACAAACCTACCCGAGTTCAAGAACGTCCAGTCTAAGATTCGAACCAGGGCTATCCTCTCGGTTGTCCAGCGCGATACCAACTGAGCTAACGGCGCTCCTGAATTTCGCTACTTCAAAATTACGAAGTTCTATCTGTCATTTTGTGCAAATTAGAGTTTCTAAAACCACGAGGTCAGAAACCAAATGTTTTATATCTATCATACTCTATGAAAAGGGTAAGATTAGTGTCTTTGTCAAGATATTCAAAGAATTGTATTCGAAACCTTGACATGCTGTGAAACTTTAAAAAATGTACACGTCAAATTCCTCAAAACTAGGTACTGCGAAAAGAGAAATTTGTAATTTTAGGGTAGCGATTTATTTGTAGTTGTTTGTTTGTCACTGTTATGTTTACATGCTTTCTTTCCTTTCTTATTTCCCCACTCCCTTCCCCCCCCCCCCCCCCCC